CTATTTTGATTACATTTTAAGTTTAATGAACTTTTGTTAGCTGTTCTTTTTCAAAGACATTGGCATTTACTTTCTGAATTTCAGGATGCCTTTAGGTCATTTGGTAGAAGACTTAATTTGACGTATCCATACTTTTATATATGCACGTCCATGTGAAAATATAAAACCAGTCACTATTATTTCAGTTTCACAGAAATATACATTTTGTTCCGGTTTGAGAAGGGTGGAGGCATTCATACACGTAAAAACATAATGATGGTAGTTATTATTATTTTTTTTTAATGAGATGTTAAGGACTTGATTGTTGTGAATGAACATATGAATAACTAGGCGTTCGATATATAAAATTTGACATAAGAATTTAGCGGTATGTATGCCAATAGTTGGCTACCCAATTTCTCATGTTATTTGACAATTATGCAAACTTAGTGTACTAGTGTTTAGCATACTCCTTACTTATCATATAACATTTGAAATCACATAACGACCTCCTAGATATGATTAAAAATGTGCAATACAAAGGACAACATATATTCTGCTATTTGAGAGAAAGAAACAAAAAGGATTTTTTGTGACATTTGCTTGAGAGAAACGAGTTAGCAAAAAGACCAACCACCCATTTCAACAAAGCAGGTTGGTAAAATATTATAAAAAAAATTCAAGAAAGAACCGGTAAACTTTACAATTAAACGGAATTAAATAACAAATAGGATCAGTTAAAGAAAAATTGAAAATTTTTGAAAGAGTTCAAAAGAGGATCTATCTGACTTGGTTGTGATTCGATTAAACATACCATTGATGCATCCATAGATTGGTGGAAGGAGAAATTAGAGGTGAATTGAATTTTAAATCAACTATAATTCTATTTTAATTATACACAAAATTTGTGTAAATGTCTTTTTCTTTTATGTTGTATGAATGACAAGTTGTGCCAAACACTAAGAAATTTTGATATGATGGCATTGAATCCGAGCAAGAGGAGAAACCTAATCTAATGTTTAGTGGCATTTTTTGCAACGGGTGATAATGTATGGACTCCTCTGGTATCTCAAGAACAAAAAGATAGCCCAAGTGAACCAATTCAAAAATCATCACTTGACATTAATGAACACAGTGAATCCAGTCATGTTAGGACGCAACCCTCTTTAAAAGCAAGGATAGCTTGCAATAAAAAATTGTCCGTGTGTACATGAAGAGTTAAATATCATAGTAACGACATGTACTAATTTATCTTCCGAATCTAACACCGTAAAATCTTCTTCATCTATTCCAGATGTGGTAAAGATTTTAGCGCAAACTACAAAGGTTTATGAAGATGCTCCATGAAGTTACTTGAAGATCCTGTGAAGAGAGAGTTCTTCATATCTATGACACCTAAGCGGAGAATTCATGCCTGCATTTTTTCTACGAAAACCATGATAGCTAATTCTTATGTCAACTAAACATTATTGTAGCTAATGTATTGTCAATTAAATATTATGTTGTTGTTCATCTTTTTCATTTTAATGGTTGAACAATCAATTATTGTACTAGTTTTGATTTACGTTGCAATTAGATCACATGTTCGTTTTATTTTGTACTGCAATGTTGTGATCATAACATAACTTGTTGAAAGGTTAGTAGCTTATATAACTTGTCATGTGGTAGTGTGCTTAATTACGTTTTTCAATAATGGATGCTACCAATCGAGAACGTAGAAAGCATTGCAAACAAATTATTGCAGTATTTGTTTGTCTACCAACTGAGTACTACGGGTCATACATTTCTCGGACTCCATACATGACCTCGACTTTTACAGGTGACAATGGATTGTTGAAATACTTGAGGATTATCCAACAAAATTTCAAAACATGTTTCGTATGAGTCAAGTGAACTTCACCGATCTTCTGAGTTATCTTCACACTAATTATGGTCTTCATGGCTCTTTAAGAATGATTGCACGGGAGGTATTAGCCATAAGATTATAAATCATGTCACATAATCAATCTATAATAGCAGATTGTGAGAGATTTCAACACTCGTTCAAAACCATCAATAAATGTCCTCAAATATCATCATACTTAAAAATCCAACTTTTCAACTAGACAAATTTCATGTGATCATTGGTATATGCCATACTTCAAGATATGTTTTGTGCATATTCATTTTCCAATAACAAAGATTATGAAATATGGGCTAATGCAGATGTGATATAGGATTGTGTTGGTCTTATTAACGAGACACATGTTAATGCATGTGCATCAAATGCTGGTAATATTGAGAATATTGGATGATGGGTCTACCCACATGAAATATAATGACAGAATGCAACTTCAATATGTGTTTCACCTTCATCATGGCAAGGTGGGAGGGTAGCATACGACAACCAGACCTTCAAGTTTGCCACTCGATCTCGTTTGCATCATTTTTCACATATGCCTCAAGGTAGTCAACATTCAATCATGTAGTTCAGTAATTTGAGTCATACTTGCTAATAGTGAACAAATCTTGTAGGAAAGTATTATTTGGTGGATGTTGACTATTTTCTCAAGTCATTTCTAAACACAAAATATCACATACCAGTCTTTATAAGGGGAAGTCAAGTGGTAGGAGGAAGAAAAGAGATGTTCAATAAGTGTAACTCATCATTATGTGATGTGATTGAGAAGGCGTTTGGTGCTTGGAAGAAAAATATGGTCATTCTAAGAGATATTCCAATATATTCATTTGAAAATTAAGTTAAAATTATTGCTGCAACAATAACTCTCTATAATTATATACGACATCATCATTCACAGTATGATGTTGATTTCATAAGCTTCCAACTCACAATAACAAAGCTTCCGACTCGCAATGTTCAGCAAGGACATGCACGCATCCTAAATATCATTCATTGAGTAGAAGCGTATCGGTGCAACCATTGTTCTCTTAAGTACTTGCTCTAAAATAATTTGATGTTTACTCTCTGACAATATAAAAACTCAACATCAACACACCTCATAAAAAGGGAAGTTTTGAAAATTTCACATTCTACTCTAACATTTCTTAGGAGTGCACACCTCCTAAGTGACTGTAATAAGTCATATCTCCCATAATAATATGTGCTTATGCCCTGGGTAACAAGGCAAGAAAAATCCTCCCCAAGCATCTATGATTCATAATCACGGAATGAGTTGCTTCCATCACTTAGAAAGTGAAGGCTCCTGAAAGAGAAATAATACACAATTACTAGAGAGTGCTTGTGATTACTTTCTACATGTGTAGCATCCAAGCCTCTAGAGGAAGGAAAGTTCAAACTCATTGGTAAAATCTCATGATTACTCTTCAAGGCATAGCTCACAAAGCTTATTTGTGGTGGAAGCATCACTTCGATCAAATATGAATAGATATGTCTATAGACAAAGCAGACAGGGTATATCGCTTGCTATAGTTTTTTCATTCATTGAGCCATGCACCAAGGCGGTGTATTCTTTTATTCTTTAATTCTCTCGTTCCTTTTACAACATCCCGTCGAAGAGTTAAAAGAATCGAAAAACCAAATGTATATCCAAAAATGAGTTTCTTTAAGCAATAAGAAAGCCCAAATCTTAAACGAGCCTCATGGGCTTAATGAACTGAGTCCACCAAATTGTGCATTTAATGGTCCAATGCTAACCAAATCAATCGACTTGTTAGACATACCTTTGGAAGTGACTAGTTGCATAACTCATTATTTAGAAGGATTTTATGAATATCTCCAAAGTACTTTGGCATTACAACTAGTTCCTCAGGATTGTCTACCCAACCTTGATAGTCAAGCAATCAAGCTCTTCCAGCTAAATTCACCCCGACTACCGAGTTCCTATGCCATACTCGAACAAGTTGTTTGTAACCTCTCACCAAAGTCACTGACAACTAACTGACTACACCATCAAGCTGGACAAGCAGCTCCCCAAGGTAGAAGTAAGAAAATTCCCATTCATTAGCATCCATCATTTATTAATAGCATGACAATAAACACGTGCAGTCTTATCGACAACGAGTCTGACATAATCTTAAGTTTTATTCTCTAGACCTCAGTACTCATGCTCTTTAATATATAAATAAGAAGTGGGAGGATGGGGACCTCTCTCTCTCTCTCTCTCTCTCTCTCTCTCTCAACAATAAGATTGTTGGTGCTACTTAATTATAGTTTTTAGTTATAGAACTCATACATTATGTGAAATATATAGTTAAGCATTAGTTTTAATTATATTTATTTAAATTCTAATTTAAAGTAAACGTTTAGTCAAACCGGAGAATGAAAGAAATTAAGTATTTCGTGTGCCCTTCATGCCCATCAATTCTTACATGAAGAAATATAAATAATTATCTTATATTATAAACAGTTTTAACCCCATAAATATTGTTTATAATTTTCAAATTTTAATTAATTAAAAACGAAAACCTAACCAATAATCAGTTTTTACACATACTACCAAATATATAACGATATAAAACTTAAAATTCTAATCTTAAACCCAAGTTTTTGGAACAATGATGAAAAATTTTATTTGGATATGTTGTTCACCAAAGGCCTTTACATAAAATTCGAATAATAAACTGTGCATTTCAACTGAACGGATCATCGTGGTTGTCAAGACACGTCACCTTGCATTTCACGTGGTCGAATTATCGCCGCTGTCAAAACAGATAAACACCAAACAAAATATATTCTCTCATTTTACATCCACTATACACAAAAATTGGTGCACCAAACACACAATATATATATAATTCGATCCTACTCTTCCATACACACCAAACGGTCCAAACTTAGAACAAAGCAACACCTGATTTATGCTCCATCTTCCAACTCCAAATAATTAGTTACCCCATCCTCATACCTAACATAGTTCTAATTAACATATATCATGATTATGTCTCTTAAATTTTTCCAAACAGGTAACATGGGCTGATGTCATTTGTACCAAGAGCCTACAATGCAACCACCCTCCCTCAACCTTTTTCTCACCAACTCGCTTCTAGAAGTCCCAGAGTTTTAACTTCCACCTCCTTTCTCCCCAAAGGGTCAAACTCTTATATATCTTCCAAACTCCTCCATTCTTGCTCCAGAGCTGCAAGTAATTGAAGAAGATAGGTAATCAGGATCCATGGGGAGATCTCCTTGTTGCGAGAAAGCTCACACCAACAAGGGAGCATGGACCAAGGAAGAAGACGAGCGCCTCACCGCACACATCAAGGCTCACGGTGAGGGCTGTTGGCGTTCCCTCCCCAAGGCCGCCGGTCTTCTTCGTTGTGGCAAAAGCTGCCGCCTTCGATGGATCAATTACCTCCGTCCCGATCTCAAAAGAGGGAACTTTACGGAAGAAGAAGATGAGCTCATCATCAAACTCCACAGTCTGTTGGGCAACAAGTTAGTGTCTTTTGATCTCTAAGTCCATTTTCGCTTCAGTTTAATCGCGAAAGGTGAAGTTTTTATGTTTGAGGTTTTTGATTGTTGATGCAGATGGTCTCTGATAGCTGCGAGGTTACCGGGGAGAACCGATAACGAGATAAAGAACTACTGGAACACGCATATCAGGCGGAAGTTGATGAGCAGTGGGATAGACCCTGCAACTCACCGGCCTCTGCTGGAGCAACAGGGGAAGACGACGATATCCTTCATTAAAGCAGAGGAGAAAGGTGTGGAGTTTGAGGGGAGAGGGGAAGGGAAGAAAAGTGGCGGTGAAGAGATGTCTGTAAGGCTTCAGCGGCGGCCGGAGGGAGAGAAGAAGAAGTGGAGATGTCCTGATTTGAATTTAGAGTTATGCATCAGTACTCCTCCTTCACAAATGCAGCAAGTTTTGTGTCAGGAAACTGCGAAGAACGAAGAATTGAGGCTTTGCTTTAACTGTAGATTGGGCGTGAAGAGGAGCTCAGAGTGCAAGTGTGGTGGCAGTTTTCTTGGTCTCAGCAGTGGTGTGCTGGATTACAGAAGTCTGGAGAGTAATTGAGAGAGTTTTCATATAGTTATTTAATTTGTTTCTTTCTTTTCTTTTTTTTTTTCTTAGAAATGGTGGGATTAGTGAGATTTATGCTGTATTAATGCTGTAATTTAGCACTAATTAGTATTTTCCTCCCTTCTTTGCATGCAGTCATCCTTCTATCTGATTTTGTAGTTTGTATAATTATTGACATATGTAATTAGATACTATATCATATCATCTAAATAATCTTCTTCTTTTCAGAAAATATTACATATTTTGTAAGTATGAGCAGAAATAATATTTAAATTTAAATTAAATTATAATGACATGGTCACCTATTTCACTTTTTCTCCACACATATGCTAAATTCTGAGGGCAAATTAAAGTTTTTTTTTCACTTTATTTTCTTAAAAAAATAATAATTAATAATGAATTCTCATCAACTTTAATAAGTTTTTTTATATATATATATATAATTTGTGTGGCTAAGTGGACTGAATGCATGTGAGAAAATGGATAAGAACAATGGAGAAGAGAAAAGGCCAAATAAATAAATAAAAAGAAATTAGGAGGGTAGGTAGCAAGGTATCACATGTCTCAAAATGAGGCTTACTTCATAAAATTTCTATGGAGGTTTCTATCCATAGGACTATCATGAAAACAGCATAGCATTAGTTGCAATTTGGCACATGATGAATCAGGTAGGTAGAGGGTAGTTGTAACCAAAACTTAATTTAATGAGATGCATATGGATTAATATTGTATTTTCATAATTATCTATCTATCTATATATATATATATACATATATATGCATGGATTATGTGGTAGGTACTCAATTATTGGGCACAAGCTAGAGAGAATCATTGAAATTCCTATATGGGATGTTTTTCTCTTGAAAATTGAGTGATCCATGTTCACATGGGTCCTTTGCTTCTTAACTCAAGCATATGTGTACCAAATTAATATTTTTCTATGAAGAATATTTCAAAAATTTTATCTTTAATTTATTGCGCATGATTGATTGAATATATCAATATATATATATTATTAATCTAATCATTTTATAATATGTTTGTTAGATAGGATATTGTTCTCTAATAATGTCTTGCTTGTTAAATCTTTCAGTTTTGTATATGTTGTGGTGGAGTAAAACAATTTATTTAATCGAAATTTAAGTTTTTACTTGAAATGATTGAAAATAGAATTTTTTTACTATTGAAAATATCAAATGGGCTATATATACGAGCCTCCAACCACTTCTAATGTGTCAAATATTTCGAGTACCACCCTTATCAAGGCTCAGAGAGAGATTCGAACACCCGACCTGAGGGGTCTTACACCAAGGATTCCAACCAACAAACCGAGGTAAAGACTCTTTCAGCGGAGTGAGGGGTCCGGGTTATTTATTTATTATTTTGGTAAAAGACATTTCTGCGCAGGAGGAGATGCGCCTAACTATTAAGGAGCGTTTATTCTGTGTGAATACCACACCCAAGTCTACGTGCGGTGTCCAATTAAAACGTGAAACATGAAACTGCAGGCCCCACATTAAAAAAAAAATTAAATTTCTATTTCCTTACTGCACGACACGGCCCTAATCTGGCCTCAGTACCCAAAAATTAAACCTCGCGTCTCACCAAAACGTCAGATCATCATTTAGGAAAGGTAGACGTGGTTAAGACACCATTAATTTTTCACTATCAAGACACCATTTCATCTCATAATTATTTAATTTTGAATCTTAGAATCTATACTGCTGCACATGGTTAGAATTCCTGCCATGTGCGCCGAATAGAACAGAAAATCTTAGGCTGCGTTTGGTTGGAATGAATGGAGTTGTGGGGATGAAAATAAACTAAAAATAGAAATGATATAAAAATTTAACTAATTAAAAAACATATATTTTTTTTATATCTTATTAAATTAATAAGGAATTAATTTTTATTTTCTGCTTGAGGAGTGTATGATACATTAATAATCCAATAAATTTTCTTATAATTTTCAAAAAAAAAATAAATAGATAATTATTATTTAAATTAAAAAAAAAACATTTTTTATCATTTCAAATAAAGTTAACTGGTCATTAATGATGTCAAAAATTTAATGAGAGAATGCATGGTGGGCCCCACAGAAAAGTTATGATTGGCTAGCAAGTCACTTTCTCCATTTAAAAAAAAAAATAATAAATAAATAAAAATCACTTTCCCAAACTCACCTACCCTTCGCTTTGGTAGGCAGAAGAAGCTTCCATGGTCAATCCCTCTTCTCCATTAGAGTAGGAAAATAATGGTATAGTTATGACTGGCTTATTTAAGAGCCTCTCTCTCTCTCTCTCTCTCTCTCTCTCTCTAATTATGATTTTTAAGCTTTAATTAAAAACATGAAACCAACCCAAAATCACATGCATGACAATGGTGGTGGGCCCCATCGCCTTCTTTTTCAAGTAGGCAACACATAAGAATCCTCCCCTTGATTGGCACAAATTAACAATTTTGCCATTGCCTTTGTCATTCTATTTGTACCTTTTAGTTGAACATATTTGTTTAATATTGTTGATTATTTTACCTTTTTTAAAGTTGATTTATTTAAAACATTTCTTAGATGTTTTATATGTTTTTTTTTTTTTTAAATTACTAACAATTTGTTGCAATCGTTACAATCAATATTGGTTGTTGCGATCGCAGGCTGATTTTATCAGTTGTTGATATTAGTGATCATTATTGATGATCAATATTAATTGCATTCATAAATCAATATTGACAGTCAGCACGAACACTACCAGTCACTCTTCACTTTCGCGAGTCAACAATGTCAATTATCATCATTAGTGGTGATCACTATTGATAATAGTCACAATTAGCAATTACTATTAGAAAACATTTTAGAAAAAAGTAAATAAAAATTTATAATTTAATTACAATTATTACTATTATTATGATTTTTAAATGGTACAGAGAAGAGAGATATTTGAATAAGAGAATGTTTTGGTTAATATGAGATGATGGTTTGGTGGTTCGATATTTTTTCTCACTGAAAAGTCTCGTAAATTGACTAAAAAATTCCTGAATAATAATAATATTTTTTAGGGTGGAGTGAATGATTGGGGCCATAGTTTCAAAGTTAAGTGGTTTTTAATAATAATATTTATAATATTTTAAATTTTTTAAAAGGATGAAAGATTATATATATATATATATATAATTTCTATAAAAGGGCTACTTTTTATTGAATATAATGCATAGTACAGAAATGTCTACATATTTAAATATGCCATCCAGCTCGGGCGCTGGGGGTTGAAATTTGCGTACGTAAGCTGTACATAATATTGCTTACATAAGTGTTTCATAATGGAGGTTATATTTGTGTTATATCGGCATTATATTCTCGTTATATTCTCTGTAACCTCCATATAACTTCCATGTAATTTACAGATATGTGAAAACAGAAGTACGAAACTTATTTGTAAATTCAAGTAGGTTATATAGATGTTACATCGAGATTACAGACGATATAATGCGGATGTAGTACGGATATAACGTGAATATAACTTCCATTATGTACTCAGCATTGCGTACGTCTTACGTACGCAAATTTTTCCCCAGCTAAGGAGCTTAAGAATATAGAGGCGAAAATTTGGCGATTAAGACAATACTGAAAATACTTTGCTTACAATAAATATTTGCCCAAACGATTTATCATAGTTTTTTTTTATCAATAATTTTAAATATAACAAAAGAGCCACTATATTATATGGTACTTTTTTTTTCCAAAATAACAAATTTAATTAATGCAGTAATTTTAATATTAAAAAATCAGTATATCTACTATCACTCACTCATAACAGTCCATTTTTTTTTAATATATAAGATAGTGTGAGTTATGGACCTAATTGAGTGGATATAATATAATTTCTAATATATCATCAACAAATTTTATTATTTGACATAAATCTTAAGAAATATAACATACATTTTGAAATATTTGTAAATAAAAAATATTTAAATTCAAATTTAAAATTATTCATAACTTCAATCTCAAAAAAAAAAAAAAAAAAAATTTACAGTTTAACGGACGGGCTCGCAAACTTACAGTTTAACGGACGGGCTCGATGAGACAGACCAAATGACACCAAAATTAACCCAATCCGAATCAAATCAGGCCTGGAATAAGTCGTTAAGCTACTCTTGAAGCTTTCGATGTATAATTGAAAGGTCAAATAGATTCCAAATTTGATAAGTTTTTATAGCTACATTGAGTATCTCGATAAGAAGAAACCAACGAGCCTAAAATCACTCAAACAAGAGAATCGCTTTGGGCCTTTTGATGGAGCTGTCTGGATTCATTCCTTATTTGTAGGGATGCCTCTCTCGGACTCAATAAATAAAGTCCTACCTCCTTCAAGATAGGATACCTAGGCCTTGAACCGTAGGAAGAGCTGGATTGGGAGAAGAAGGAGCTAACTTCTAGTGCCGTTCCAGATCGAAGGCTCAGTGAATGCTTCCCGCTCCTGCAACCGCTAACCACCACTCAACGAATACCATTTGACTCTCTTGCTTGTCACAACGAATCCTCTCACAGAGTCGTGATGTATTCTACAAAGTAAGAAAGAAACATGCAGAGCCACGTCGACAAATGTTGTGGAGTAGCGAAAAACTATGTGGAGTCAAGATGAACGTCATAGAGTAATGAGGCACCTTAAAATGCAGTTCATTTTACTGAAAACCGCACCACAATGAATTTCGAGGACAATGTACTAAAGTTTCAACAACTAATCACAAATACAATTGCTTTCGACCGTTGGGCAGCGTATGCTTTTGCATACGATTGTTGTACTTCGAGAAACATTGTAACTCTTTCTCACCTATGGGACAAGGGTTTGAACGTGTACTCATCAACTTATTTTATATCATTTTGATTAGGCTAGATATCATAATGTTATTATTATTATTATTATTATTGATTTTTCATATAAAAACTTCTGATGTCTATATGTCACTTCAGTTACGTATTTGTATAGTGGACTTTCATTTAATGCTAAGATGTTAAATTATCACTCTACTGTCATATATCTTCCAACACACATCAAT